TATCTTGGGTGACTTGGATATTGCACAAGCAAAAGGACTTGGACTGGCTTTATCAACAATTGATTCAAGTTTAAGCTAGATAGATCATCTTATCCATATTTTTAAAACTTGCTGCTTGCATTATAAAAGGTATATAAAATAATATTTAAATTATTATTTAATTAGTTTTAATTAATATCTATATTTTATTTTAGAAATATTTTCAATTGTAAATTTTCTAAACAAGCTACTCAATTAATGCAAAATATATTAACTGCAGAAAGTTTTAAAGAAATCCAATTGATATTAAATGAAATATCATTAATTGACAAAGCTGGAATTGAGGGTTTTTTTTTATAATTTTATGTATATAGCATGTGATAATTTTATAAATTGTAGTACAATTTTAATATATGTACATATGTACATACGTACATACCTACATTTAAATTTATACAGATTGGTTACAGTTTTATAATCAACTGTGGGTTCTTGCAAGTCTAAGCCAACATTGTTCTAAAGTTAATTCTGAAATTTGGTATATTGTTGGTAAAACAACAAATAATGCTGAATCAGCACATGCAGATATTAATCGTGAGGGAAAGAATTAAGTTTAATGAATACAATTGAGAAGTAAGTTTTGTTTTTTATAAAATTTATTATTTAAAAAATCTAATTTTGAATTCTATAATTTTAGGGCACAAAAACTTGATATGCGAAAATATATAAACTGTGAAATACAAGATAAATACGGGGTTGCAAAAACTGGACAAAATAATGAACCAATATCTCATGCATTACAATCAGTCAAATGATATGGTAAATACTAATTTTTAAATTATATATGTATTATAAATACTGTTCTAATTGTATTATATATATTATAAAACTAACCCTATTATTAAAATCGAATTTTAAAGACAAAAAATGAACATTAAACCAAAAATCGACATCAAACAAAAACAAATGAATTAAGTCTAACTCTACTGAAAAAAATTCATTAGATAAATTAGAACAACAAATTTTATTAGAAGAA